TTTTTATTTTGATACCAATGAGTTTTTTTTATTTGTTATTATTGCTATTATTTATTTTCTATTATTTTATTTTTCAAATAAAATGCCAATTTTCCAGAGAGAAACACTTCTACCTGAAGACTTATTTAACAAATTGATCAATTTTAGATACAAGCCCAAACAAGTTAATGTATTTGCAGGGTACCGCCACACTCGCCTAATGAAATCGGCTATAAAAATGACCATGAAATGGTTTTTATTAAACTATTTTGGTAGCCAACTGGAAAGGATTGGCCATTAGCATGGCCATAAAGCCAAGCGACAAAGTTGCTGCAAATTTTGATGGCGCTGCTAATTGAAGTGACTGTGATACTCGAGACTGATAAATAGATGGATCTAATGTCGCAATCAAAATGCGAAATTCATTTCTTATTCACAATTTACAGTTAGCAAGAGTTGCAGCCGGCAGCTGTGCCAAGTAGCCGAACTAAATTTCGAGGGGAGAGAGAGTGGAAAAAAGAAGAAAACAAGATATCAAAAATACAATTATTATAGCCAAGCGTTGAATCGTAAAAAATTGCCAGAGCAGTTGTAAATGCTGCCTGCTGGTAGCAAGTACGCAAATTTTTGTATAGCTCTAACGAGTTTTTACGCTTGATAACTCAGCCAAACAGAGAAAACTATGTATTCATTCCACTCACTGCTGTGCTGCAACATTGTGTGCTTTAATGCGCTGCCACGCACTGCTCAGAGCTCAGTTAAAGCTTGGCTGAGTGCTTAGATGCAGCAAATGTGATTTCAGATGATAAAAGGCACAGAAAGAGATAGATCGAGCGAGAGAGAGAGAGAGGGAGAGGAAATTAAAAATGGAGAAGGTACATCAAATTATTGTCGTTTAAGCTTACTTGGAGTGATATTCATTAGGGTCAATGCAGTTGATTGGGAAATAAGGGAAATAATTTCTGAGCAGAGGGAATTTTGTGAATTTTGCCAGAAAAAGTATTAGTATTTATCTAAAAAGTTATACACATAAACAATGAATAAAAAAAAAAAAAAAAAAATTTTAAAAGTATTAATATTTATCTAGAATGCTATATAGATGATAAATGTTTAAACCAATATTTTTGTTTAATTAAATGTATTTGTTGAATTGCTGTTGAGTCTGACTTTAGTTTTGCTCTTAAATGATTAATTTAAATACTAAAAATAGTAGAAAAAAGCCAATATACTTTTATTCCATTCTAAATTTATTTACAATATTTTACAACATATATACATACATTGTTTTATAACAATTTATAATTCCTAAAATGTACAGCTTCAGCTAATTCTACATTTAGCTTAATAACATAATTTAAAACAAGTTTTAATGTACCTTTATCCTAAAAGAAGAAAGAAAAATGAAAACTTTTCGTTATCAACATGATATGTTTTTAATGTTCACATATATTTAATTTCAGTGACCATTGCATGTCATGTCGACTGCCAGACACATATCATGCTGAAAGCCCGCCCATCTTGAAGCATACTCGAGCTATTCGTGTCCAGGCGAAGCTTGGCCAATGCTCTCCAGCTGAACCATGGCATTTGTACATGGCTATGTTGGCATATATAAATACAGGTGTAGTGTATCCTGTTGCTTTCGTGTTGGCAACGGCTGACAGCGATGGCGGGAGGTAAGCGAAGCAGCGGGGCAGCGAGGCAGCGAGGGTGCAACAAGGACCAACAACCCGGGCAAGTTACAATGTCACGCACACATATTTCCTGTCATTCTAGCGTTTATTTCCTCACAACGCTTTATTTACTTCTTTTTTTGCTGTTGTTGCTTCTTTCTATTTTTATTATCGCATCCTTGTTAACACGTGCGTTTCCCCATTGTTGTTGTTATTGTTTGTTATTATTGTTGTTGCTATTGTTGTAGTTGTCGTTGTTTGCTGCAGTGCGTCCATGTGGCTTTGCCCCCGGGGGTATCCAAGTTTATCAAGGCAACGATCTCTGTTATATGTACAACCAAAAAGTGGGGCGTTTTTTGGG